TGACATGTTAGAAATATGTACGGCAGTGGTGGGACGGCCTTGGCGAAGAACCGGGGAATGTCGCCTTGGTGGAAGGGTTTACTATTACCACAGGCTCGTCCGCTGCTTCGCAATTTCTTAGTACGGCGCTCAAAAACGAAGGGTGGGTGGTTGGGGTATCAGACAGAAGCTTAAGCTCGGCGGAGCGGCCCTCCGTCAATGGGAGATTTCTCACTACTTCCCAGCCTGAGGTTGGCTTGCGTCCGGGGCACTTCGAGAAGGCTGCTGAGAGGGAGCGGGAGAGGCGAAAAGCCAATAGGGAGGCCGGGAAAGAGGAAAGGGACAGGGAGACTGAGCGGCTTCGTAAACGTTTCGAGAACGGCCGTACCGAAGAGATTGATACGATCAGCAGCAAAAACTTCAAGATCAGCCGGCGTAACCGGCGCGACAGCTACGTCGAGCCCCCAAGACAGAGCGCACCCAGGCCGCAGAACACGATGCCTCCCCCGTCCCCTGGCGCGCGACAACGACTCCCATACATGGCACCTTACCAACAGCCCTCCCAGGGTACGCGCGAGCCAGCTGCAACACAGCGCGTGGTGGTGCACCCGTCCGTCATGATCTACAGCGACAGCATTGACGATGAGGACGACAGCTACAGCCCGTACCCGCTTCCGCCCAAATCATCGCTACGCCAGGGTACTGATGAAGACCCTTGGGAAAAGAAGATCGCGTCCAGTCATTATCTCGAGACGACATCTTCGAGCTCACGCATTTATACTCCCTATACCAATTTAGTCCTTCTCCCAGATCGTCTTGACCTTGAAGCCGCCTCGGAAAATGACAATCGCCGATACAGCGACACTTCCAGCAAGACACATGGCGACTCGAGACTCCACGACCCCTATGCCAGTACATTGGTGGATTCGGAAAAACAAGACATGACGTCGGGCTGGGTGAACGCGGACTCCACATCCGGCGAAGACCACGATTCACCATATGAGGCTGATGAGGCCGATGAGGCCGATGACCTTGCCGACACTTCTTACGTGAGAGGTTTTGAGGAGGAGAGTCGGCCTGTCAGTCCGTTTCAAGGTGACGAGTTGGGTGAGTCGATTGCCATCATGGGACAAGCACGAAAGACCCCAGTGGGAGTACAGCGCACCTTTCGAAGAGACCCAGCAGCTCAAGAAGATGCCTAGAAATATTCTCCGCCGAGAATTGGCACAAGCACTCGGATGCGTGGACGTAGAGAGAGGAGACTCTGACTTTAGCGATTTGGAGAGCATCGTTTCAGGAGAACCATCACGGGTATCGTCACTTAGTTCGGCTCCGATGGATGCAACTAGCGGTGCGATTGATGAGTTGAAAGCATTGCTCCTCTTTAACGAGAACCTAGAGCCGCTCTATAGCATCGCCATGTCAAAAGCCGGGCTAGACCGATTTCAAAGAAACTTCAAACGCCTTCTTGTGCGATACTGTGCGGCTCTAAGTCTCGAGGCATCGACCCCTGTACAGGCTATGGCTGCGCGTTTGGTTCGGTTTTCAGCATGGAGGGTTTCACTTCAGATCAAGGATAACCTCGTCAACAGGAGCGAGCCTGAAGCGAATCAAGAGCAGAAGTCGAATAAGGCCAAGGTACTGGAATACCTGCAAGAAGTGCGAGACTGTGATGACGTGGTCAGCGGCGATGATGAATCGGTTCATGATCCCGAGGATGTTGCATTACAAACACTCGAGAGTGTCAAGAGCTTCTTGGTCACTTCAAATGCCTTCTCGGATTTGTGTAACGCGTTGAGAAGGTTCCTGAAGTTGGATGGTGGTCGGAGGTCATCTTCTTCTCCTGATACCCAGCACCAGTCAGAGGGAGTCAAGAAAGACGTCACAACCAACAAGTCACGAGTCTCAACAGATCAAGATCTAGACGACGTATCGGAACCACAAGTCACAGCCAACACCATGGATGCATCATTGGTTGACCCTGAGAAAACTCTGGGTTCGAGACGTACGCTAGGAGAGGATGTCTTGTTGAACACAAAGCTCGACACGCCTACGGTTTCACTCCATCCCACAAGGAACATGGTCTCGATTGTGGCGAAGGCGGTACAATACGTCCGAAATTATGTGTCTGATCTTTGCCAGAGAAGCGTCAAGACCGGACGCGTTCGAGTATCATGGACTTGTGTAAGCCAGCCCTCATCACTTAGTACTTCCACGGCTTCAAGCTAATAAAAAAGCACAGCGTTGCGGTGACCGCCTACGAACTGAAGCTCCCAAAGCTCAGCACCAACTCGCAGTAGCGTTCGCAACCCAAGCCGCTGGCGCAAATTTCCAGCAGTGTGACATCGCAAATCAGTTTATATGACCTAGCTGCCGCCTGCAGTAGCCAGGCATCGGGTGGTACAGACACAACAGACGCGCCCACAGTAGGAACAAGCAACCCGGCCTCGTCTTCTTGCTCTGCGTCAACGCCAGTGTCCGCGGCCTGACACAACGGAAACTAGCCAACGTCGACGTTACTGATGTGCAATGCAGTGGAGAAATGTTCAGGAGGCTTCAATCAGATTATTGTCAGCTTCGAAACAGCCGCAGCCCGCTCCTCGCCCCAAAGGCGATGCACTATGTCAAGGTTAGTAGCCACTTCCCCCTTCTGCCACCCAGAAAAAAATCGCACCAACAAAACATGTCCTCACCATGTCGACAGGTTCAACTCCTCCACCTCCAAAAGTCGGGCGAGTGCGTCGGCAACTACGAAGTAAACTCGACTCCCTCGCGTAAAGAGGTCCTCAACCAGGAATACGCCTTCAGCCCGTGCCCGCCGCTGATGGGCAACCTTCCTATGCCGCCCGACATCTTCATGCACGCCTTCCTCGACCCCGCCGACCATCTCGGCCCCATGGCCGTGGAGATGCTGCCTAAAAAGCTGTGGCGTGCGCTTGCCTGGGACGGGCGCGTCCATGACCACTTCAACATTCCCCACGGCTGGGGCTTCTACATCGTCGAGGGCATCAACTGGCCTTTTTTGTGTGGTGGTGTGCCGGGATTGCGTTGCTTGCTGTGACTGTCTTGACTATTTGCTGGTCTGTGCTCGCCCAGGACCTGCAGGGGGGGACGGGGTTGGGGCAGTATTGCCTTGCTGTGCTGGCGGTTTCTGTCTCGGTTTATCTCTCGAGGCAGAGTGTGCACGAGAAGACGTAGCTAGGTTTGGCCAAACAGCGTCACGAAGACGGCGAGTGCGGCAGCATTTATGTAATGATGATGATAATGATGATGGTATTGATGATGGTATTGATGATGGGACACATGTGTATGCCCCAAACACCGTCAAAAGAATGCAAACCGGCTGATGGGCAGCCGGTTGCCAAGGAAGAAGTGAATTTTGATAACGTGGAAGAGTAGCGTGCTCTTTCTCACAAGTCCTTCCACGTCAACCAGACGTACTTGCCACTTTCGCTGTAGCTAACAAAATAGATATCCTTGGGGCTGTCCGTCAGCGCGGGCGGGCCATTGTTCTTGCTCGCCATGAGCCCGTACTGCCCCCAGCGAAGGACCTTTACACCCGGGATACCATTCGGCCAATTCTCAGGCCACGTCTACGACAAAAGGGTCAATCAATATCAGCAACTTGCCACACCTTGACCAAAGAGAAAAGACATACCCCGAAATTGTACGCCTCGTTGTCCTCGCCGCAGGTAAACCTTGACCCGCGCACCCGGCACGCGCCGACGGCGGTCGTCAGCGTGTACAAGGCGGTGTCGTTGACCTGCACCGCCTCAAAGGCGCCGCATTCTGTGTCCTGCGCGATCCACTGCCCCTCATCGGTCAGGCAGCCGAGGTCGGCGTGGTCGCCTGCGTTCCAGAGCGTGCGGAGCTCGCCGGTTCCGTTGAAGACGGCTGCGATTGGCGTGGCGGCTGTGGCCAAGAGGGAAAGGGCTGAGAGCTTCAGCATCTTGGTGAGGCTCGGCATCGTAAAATTGGTAGCTATCGTGGTGTGTTTCTGGGTGCGGTGTGCGGTGTGTGGTGTGCGGCGTGCGGCGTGGATCATGGCTGGCTGATCTTCTTGATCAATGTGCAGGCACGGGTAGATGAGGAAAATCCGGGGAACGGGGCACGCAATATATGATTGCCGCGCCTGCCTGCTAATAATCGTCCGGGATACTTTGGTTTCGCATGTTCTGGGCCCCCTCGGGTAGACAAGCAAGAGCTAATGAAGGATGGGTGTCAAAGCAGGCCTGGTAGTCGGTACCACAACGGGGGGGGGGCGTTCTTTCCCTCCCCACCCCCCATGCCCTCAACGTCACTTGCGCCCCCTGAGGTTGACGCGGCCTCCAGCTGGCGATAATAAATCTGCCGGTTGTTTCGTCACTAGGTGAGCGCTACCGAGGTGGTAACCACGGAACCCTGGCACCCCGTGCGCTCTTTTTACGCTAGCTGTGGTTGTATTCCCCTCGATGATTGGAGTATGCGGCTCGGGGCGGGATGGAATGGAACACAGAAACTTGGCTCCAGCCTCTCTGCCGTCATCTCTGTTGGCATTGGTGTTCCTGAATCAGCTTTTGCAATTAAGGCAGCTTGCATCGGGTAGCGTCTTTCAGATGTCGATCCCCATATCCTCTGGAGTATGTCACTCACAACACCATGTCTACCTGCATTCCTGCATTAAATACCGCCGTTGTCAAGGCTGTAGTGATGGTAATTACCGACGGACCCCAAGACCACGGCCCCTTTCTCCTGCCTTTTACGTCCAAGGTAATGCCCATCAGTTGGGTTGCATTACTTTGACGGTGTTGAGAGAGAGAGAGGTCTACCGAGCAAGGTTCTCATTCATGGGCTGAGCAACGCAGACGAGGCCGTCGGCAAACATGACTTCCTGTACATACCCGTACCTTTTACTGGTAGACTTGGTTACAGCAGGATAATCCTTGATTGTATGTATGTGCCCACCTTCCCAACCGAGACCACCTCTGCCAAAAGAACAAAAATACCAAAAAGCCAGATTCCCCTGGATAGTACAGTTGTATTAGACGAGTTGAGGATTGAGCCCCAGACCTTTCACAGCGAATCTCCCTGAAAATGCGAAGCGAATGTTATACCCCTAAACCACACACGCCCCTGTGCTGTGCTGTGTTGATATGCAAGTGGATACGAGTCTCTAGATCCAAACCGTGCATAGGGCCGAATCGAGCCACTTTAGCGGATAGGCGCATAGAAGCCAAACCGATTCCGAGGATCGTATGCCTCCTTGATCCGCCTCAGCTTGGCCAGTCTCGCAGCATCCCGCCCGTAAACCTCGGGCAGCTCCTCTCGGCCAATGGCGTAGTTGACGTATGAGTGAGGAAGCACCGAGATGCCACTCCTCACAGCATCTTGCATCCGCTTGCCATACAGCTCGGCTCTCTCCCGATCCTGCTCATCGTCCCCGGCCCACCACAGGGCCGGGGCCGCGAGGATATGCAGGGATCTCTCCTCGGGCGCCACAGCGTTCTCGGCGGCCGGTACTGCCTCGACGCCTTCCTGGCCATACGACTCGAGCAGCCACACAGAGGTAGCAAACTTCTCGTCGGCGGTAAGCTCGGAAAGGATATCAAAGCCAGCGCGCATCGCGTCGACATCCCATCGGTCAAATGAGTCGGGGTATCCAATAATGTTTTCATTCTTGCGGCATATGGGGCTGTTCAAGTCGATTCCGCCAGTGACGTAGAGATCTTTATACTTGATATCTCCAACCGTTGTGTTGGATACCGGGCCGAGGGCAAAGAAGGCTGACGCGTATTCATCAACCATGCCGTTCTCTCCCTCGTAATAGATTTGGAGGGTAATAACGGGCTTCCAAACGTATTAGTTTTGGCCGCTTGCTTTGCACGAGTGGCAACACTCACATGGCTAGTATCAACGGCAGGGTTCCGACCAAGAAAACCGAGCAAAACAGGCCGCCCTACGTCGCCGTGCTCATCCTCAAGTTGATTCCAGGTGCTGAAAAAACTCTCCAGCTTGTCCTGTGCAAAGATGAAGGTGAGCATGGTCCATGTATCCCCTACGTCGTGGACGTTGAGCTTGAAGCTGGTGACGATGCCAAAGTTGTGTCCGGCACCGCGGATTGCCCAAAACAGGTCCGGGTTGCTTTCCGCAGAGACGGTCACAGCGCTCCCGTTGGCGAGGACGAGCCGAGCTGAGGCTAGGTTGTCGGCAGCGAAGCCGTGACGGCCTTGCACTATGCTGTGCCCTCCGCCGAGGAGGGGCCCGATAGTTGATACGCATTCGCATAGTCCGGTGACTGGTTCCCATTAGCCCTCATCTCTCTGTACTAGAAGTAAGTTAACAGCATAGGCTCTAGACACACCAGCCAATTTGCCGTGCTCAAACAGGGACCGCACAATCTCGTGCTGCATCACGCCCCCGCCCACGGTTGCCGTCACGCCATCTGCGTTCATCTTTGTGTGGTTCATGCGGCGCATATTGACCTGGATGCCGCCCTGCACGCGGTTCAGCATTGTCGTGTAACCGTGGGCACCGGTCACGGCGAGGAATGGGACACCGATGTGATTCGAATATTTTATCTATAAACGCGGCTTTGTGTTAGTGATTTTGTTTCTTCGTCCCTGACGGGCATTCGGAGGGCTGCAGAGGTGGGACTTACTATCTCTTGAACATCCTGTTCGGTTGCCGGCTCGACGGATGCCACGAAGCCTGGGTGTATCCGTGGGGAGGCTGCCCGCACCAGCGCTTGATCCCACCCGGGTGATGAAGGAACCAAGATGGAAGCCCCCCCTGACAGCCGGGGGCCCAGTTCCCTTAGGATCCGGCTGCTAGAAGGATAGTCAAGATGGTCCTGGGGGCCCCTATGCGAATTGTCATACGCCACAGCTCGGCCGCTTGCAACTTGCAAAAGAAGCCCAATTCGTAGTAACATTGTGGTAAGTCTCATCATGCTACGCGCAGGTACGTGGATATGGAGTGGTGAAGAGAAAGGCAGACTCCGAGTCAGCTACACGGCTGCGAAGTTGCCTCGACTATTTAAGGCTGATATCAGCCCTTCATACATTGCTGCCACGATAATAAATCAAGCCAAGATCAATCGATTTTTGACCCAACCGGACATCCGACCCGATAGTCATCGAACCCGATAGGCTACATCGTGGGGTGGATGGGCTGTGCTAACGTGCTAACGTGCAAAGGCTCAGTGAAAGCACCACCAAAACTTGCTGCGTCCATAGTATGAGATGCCTGGCGTCAGGTGGCGCCAATATGTACCACCAACCTCGTAGACATTATCACCAAGACTCGCTCGTGTCCGAGGTGACACAATCCGCCCCTTTCCAAAACCGGCGCCGAAGTGGCAGGTGAGCTGATAGTGATATAGGCAATATTATGACGTCTAGGTTCAGGGAGATGTGGTCAGCGAGCCATTCATCAGTGTGGGTTATCGTCAACTTCTAGCACACCATGGCCAAGTAAGGTGCCTCATTAGACACCTTTCCATTTCCCAGCTCTTGGCCGCCTCCTCGGCAAAGTAAACGGGACTCCCATGATGCCGGCGTGGTTGATCATTCCACGCCCCGCGGGTTCCTTGCTACCAACCAAGGCGCCAGCTACGCGCAAATTAGCGTAAAAAGAGAGGAAAACAGAGAGGAATCTGTTGAGTCATCCCTAGGCAAGGTTGGAGGTTGGCAGCGAGAACGGCGATGGCAGATCTTCGATGGTCAATCGGCAAAGGGCAGAATCTCAACTTCAGACTTGCTAGGGACCGTTTGATGTCGTCGATAGCTTAGGGCCGTTTGCGGGCTTCTCGCATCCGTATAGACATTCGCTCCTGTGCTGGTTGGACAAGCCGTGATGATGACTGCCATTACGCTATGCCATTCTTTGTAAGGTAATCAGCAGAGGGTTTTTTAGTGGTCTGGGGAAACGAACATGGTATAATCACCTCTTGCGACGAGGAAATCCCGCTCGGGTGGATTGGGGAGCGACTGGGGGAAGGGAAAAATCCGAATTGAAACACTACCTGAAAATGCGGAAGCAGTGCGAGCATCCCCTGGGGGAGCTCGCTGACTCTGTCTCTGCGGAGGTTTAGTAGACATACAGACATCCAATATCTAGAGCAAGCTGTAGACGTATATGGCTATATTCGGCGGCCTCTTGCAATGTAGTATTCTTCGGGATCATCTGGTTTCGCTGTAGCACTCCTCCACGTGAGCCTGTGGTTCATGTCGCCATAATCCTCTTGACGTTTTTCTTTGGCTCTGTGCTCGCCCCGGTCTTGAGCGAGTATCATGCGAATTCCGATGGTTTTGACAACCCCAACCCCGCCAACAACAATCCTACCCGCAGTGCCATCCCATGTAAGAAGGTCAATCAAGAGCCAGAAGATAGCATCGGCTAGTCGCGGCTCTGCTAAACGGAACTACTCGTTGATTGTGGCGCTCCCGGAGTAGGATATGTCGCTCGAACTTAGCAACGATGGGGCAGGTGTTGTGATACTCAAGAGTTTACTAACATCGCCATGCTTTGATGCGTTATCGTGAATATTGGAACCTGTGCTGCAACCCCCGCTGCAGCCCCTGCTGCATCCCGTCGTCTCAATAGTTTGACTGGAAAAGGGACAGACACCGATGTGACGGTTGCTCGCGGTCTGGATAAGAGCCTCACATCATCTTTTAATGCCTGGGGTTAGTATCTTGAGGCTCAGTTAGTAACCGGCGCCTACGACCTGGCTGCGAGGGTTTGGGTTCCTTGTTAGTAGACTGGGCCCGCTCGTATTGGCAGATTAACAGGCTCGATGATGTGCTCTCCTGATAGCCATCACCATAGCTGGGGTATGGTGTGCTCGACAGTATGGCGAACCAGGTCCCCGGAATGCCAAAGCGGGTTTGTTCTTCGCCGGGATGCCGGAATTCCCTGCTGAGCTATTCTTACCCCCGTGGTAGCACGGCATGGAACGTCTAAAGAAGCCAAGAAGGAAAAGAGGACGTCGGTGTTGGATGGGGCAGGCCAAGGCGGAGGATTGGGCAGGTCTGAGCTGGCCAACCTCGCGGGTCGAGCAAAGTCGTTGCATCAGAGAGTCTGAGGGTCTCGGCGCCAAGGCTGAAATAACCTCCTTCCTGATCCTTCCCGGGTGGATATCCGCTTTTGGAGCCATGTCTTGGCGGGGCGATGGGTTTCCGACCGTTCGGACGGGTTCGGCGACAGATAAAGTGGAGCCAGACGAAAAGGTCCAGACCGAAATCTCGATGCAGCGGAGCAGCGGACGACATGTTGCCGTTACATGTGCCACGGGGCCATCGCTAGTTATCTTGTCGGCCACGAAGTTCTAAGTTGGTCAATCCGGATTTTGGAAACGGGAAACAGGTGTGGTGGAGTGTGGCTGCTTGGCCATGGGCCATGGGAGAAGCTTGTTGCCGCCACAACGACTTGGCAAGACGCCTTCAATTGGGAAACAGCGAGGTGGGCGCGAGATGGGCGTCAGAACTGAGATCTGAAAGCGCCTCGAATCAACATCCCAGCTTCCAAGATAGGCCACCGGCGAATTTCGCATCCAGCAACGGCTGCCATCAGTCTGGACCTCATCTCTGAACTCGCAGAATGTATGCCTGGTGGGGAAGGTCATGTCGCGAAATAAAGATGCCATAGAGTGATCAGGCTAAAAATGGCGGTTGGTCTGGCATGCAGCATTCCTCCCCTCGCACCCTCGTTCCCGACAGCGAGACATGCGTGAGACATTGAGCGCAATGCGGGCAAGGCGCGGGGGGGGGGGAGGGGGCAAGATTGTGTGCTTGCGTGATTGCGCAGCCGAGGTCGATCTGGCTGCCATGCCCTCATGGAACGGACTTTTAGGGGAATCTCTCGACATTGTCTGGGGTGAGCTTGCGCTTCTGGGCCGGCCCAGATAAGTAGCTCTCTTGCATGACGGGGGCGTGATTGATGGACATGGCTTGGCTGCGGCAGGACTGCCCAAGTTGCCAAGGTTCCTTCCTTATCTCAGGGCAGCCAGCCAGGGCGTGCAACTGAGGTCCAACCCGTAGACTGGTAGCTACCTCCCTAAAACAGTAATACGCCCATGGCATACCGTGCCATGTCTCCTCGCCAAAACGCCCCAATCAGTTGCTATCTCGA